CAGGGGTCGGGAATAAATAGTTTGCCTTTAAAATTATTTACTATTTTCCACTAGCAATAATTTATTTTCTAACAACTTGAGACAAGAATAATTCAAAGAATTTATTCTGAAGTAGGGAATTATTCAGTGGACGAAAATGAATAATTCCAATACTATTCTTAAGAGAGATCTGTAGGCTGCAATAGCTCCGACTGGAACAGATCCATATCCCAGAGGTGATTATTCAGCTTCAAAAACAGTTGCATTTCCACGTTCTCAGGTAATAAACTCTTACGTTGGTCTGACAAGGCGAGTTTTGACAAGCTGAACAGGCGCTCGCACATATTACTGGTTGGTCGTATAAAACGACAGTCAATATAGCGTGACGCACGCTCGATTTTCGCTCGTTTGACATTCTGCAGTATCGACTCCATCTCATCACATTCGCTTTCGCTACAGCCCTCATTGGATGCATCAACAGCGATAACATCGACTGGGGCTTTGAGATGCTGAACACAACGGGATTCCGCTGGTGTCAGCTGTAAAGACTCGTTAAAAACCTGGTGCTCTTGGATTTTACAGATAGCACTTTCAAAGATAGGATCGCACACAATAGATGCCTTGGCAGAGCAATGGTCGCTCAAGCACTCAAAGAGCTTAATGGTCTGGTCAAAAGCCTCTCGGACTTCATATAAGTTCCGTTCTTCGCTCTGGAGAAACTTTGTAAGGATTTCGAGCTGACTCAATTTCTTCAAAAGCTTTTCAATTTTGTCATTGTCTCCAGGGGACAGTTGCAGTTTTCGCGGAACAATAGATTCAACAAATTGTAAGATCTCCGAGTAACGTGACAGCATTTGGTATTTCGACGACCATCGTGTTGCATTGTCAAGAACTGGGGACAACGGAGTTAATTCTTTGAGAGCAGCACGGTTCTTGATCTTTCGAAGTGACACCATAATGGCTCTGACGGAGTCGATAAGGTCGCTGTAATAGCTCAAGAACTTCTGGACGCCTAGATTGAGGCGGTGGCTTGCACATCCGACTAAATAGCTCTTGCACTTCTTCGCCAGGCTTTTGTTTAAGGCACAATTGTCTCCAATGATACATGCAATGTTTGAAAAGTCTTTCCCAAACTGCTGTAGAACATCATAAATTGATTCATGGTGCGAATCTGCATCAAGGGATGTTTCATCGGCGAGCGGGAAGAACGATAATAATGCTTTGTTGTATCCCGTTTGTTGATCTTTATCTGGAAAGACAGCAAACACGGCTAGGAAATGAGTGGAGCAGTCGGTCCATCCGTCGAATACGATCGCGAATTGTGACGGAAGTAGGTTTCGTATCTTGTTTCGTACCAGCTCAGACAGGTGCGACATATTAAGCTTCAGCGTCTTGACAGTAACAGGCTCAAGCTTTGTAAACTTTCTAGTATTGCTGTTCTCGCAAAAGCTAAAGGGCAGAAGATCTTCTACTACCCATTGAATCCAATTAAAGAGATTCGTCTCTTTCTTTCGAAAGAAGGAGCTGACAGTGGAGTTTGCAGATGATCTAGCCTCTTGAACAGAATCGCTATGGTCTCTGTTGATGTGATCGAGGAGATTGTTCCAGCCGTTTCCCATTTTTCTGGCCTTTCCGCAGCGGCATTTCCAGTCTCCATTGGCTTGCTTGACAAAATATTTTGTGACAAGATCTTTGTTGGAGATTGTCATCGATTCGACCGTGAGCAAGCAGAGGTTGCAATGATAGAGGGAGATGGAACAATGGAAGAATGACGACGACCGAAGGGAGAGCGAGGAAGAGCGTGGCGGACTGCGTGGGTTCCCCTCTGAAATTTATTAGGAATTAATTTTTTTATTCAACAATAATTTATTGTGTTAAATTGGAATTAGAGAATAATTCTTTTTCTCGATCCTTCGTAATAAAATAACTATTCCCAGGAGACTTAGGGTGGGAATAAATAAATAATATTATTTTCCCGACCCCTG